ATTCTCCCTAATCAGTAGGGTCTGATGGGCCACCAGGGAGGAGGGGAACTGGCTGGAAGGTTAATTGCAACTAAAAATACCTCTTCCTGGAGGAGAAGGCAGCACACCCTTAGGGTATGAGTGGCTGTGCCCAGAAACGGGGAGGCAGTGGAACCAAAGTAAGAGTGACAAGGTCAGAGCTGGCTCTCAGTGGTGAGAGTCAGCTGTCACCAAAACCAGGATATGGTGACAAGCTGATCCATCAGTTATTTGGAAGGGTCGGTGCAACTAGAGCCACCACGAGCGTGTTTCTGGTCAGACACAATACAGTGGGACACAGGAAGAGCTGCCTTGGTGTAGGTTACCATGTGGAAACAGGAGACCCTATATCCCAATAGCATACTATGATTGGAAAGAGGGGCCATGTTCTTGGAGGCCATGTCCTAGTTGTCAGGAACTGCATCCCTGTGTGTGGAGCTGGGTGAGATGAACAGCCACCTTCTGTGTCTACCAAGTGAGTCTTCCTCTGTAGACTGCTGCATGTGGCATTGCCTGATGGCTTGGTGTGGGATGGATGTGGTGAGTCCTCCACAGATTCAAATTTTAGTGGCGATGTTTGGTGCGACTTTGACACCTGTGGTATGCGAAGCCTCACTGGTCACCAAGGGCAGGCCTGAGTTTACAGCTCACACCCGCTTCCAGCCTGTGCTCACCAGTTGTTCCTTTAATGTAATTGATTGCTTTGTGGCCGGGCGGTGGTGGCGCACGCCTTTAATCCCAGCACTTGGGAGGCAGAAGCAGGTGGATTTCTGAGTTTGAGAGTTCGAGGCTAGCCTGGTCTACCGAGTGAGTTCCAGGACAGCCAGGGCTACACAGAGAAACCCTGTCTAGAAAAAAAACCAAAAAAAAAATTGATTGCTTTGCCTGCTTGTGTGTCTGTACACCGTGTGTGTACAGTGACCACTGAGATTAAAGGGGGTTGTAAATCCCCTGGAACTGAAGCTACATGCAGCTGTTAGGCACCTGTGGGTACCAGGAACAGATCTTGCATCCCCTGTAGAAGTAGTCAGTGCTGTAGCCCACTGGGCCATGTGTACAATCTAGCATTGAATCCCCCCCCCCCTTTTTTGGCAGGAGCGTTGTTCTATGTGTGTGTCTGAATATATGTATGTGTACCATGTGCATGAAGAAGCTTGTTGTCGACAGAAGAGGGCGCTGTATCCCCTGGAACTGGAGTTAAATAGGCGAATGTAAACATTATGTATATCCTGAGAGTCTAACCTGTGCCCCCTGCAAGGGGAGTAAGCCCTCCTGAACCACTGAACTATATCTCCAACCCCCTCCCTCTTTTTTCTTTAACCCAGGGTATCGTGTAACCCAAGTTAGCCTCAAACTCCAGATTGAATAACCGCGAACATCTCCATCTCATGCTTCAGCCTCCAAGGCCTTAGTGCTTCCACAGTTGGCTTCCATTAGGCTCTCTGGTCATTTATTCATTTATTTTGTGATAAGGTTTGATGTAGCCTGTGTTGACCTCGAACACCTCCACCTCCCAAGCGATGAGAGCACAGATATGCGTGTGCCGCTGTGTCCAATGAGCACTTTTCTCAGAAGTCGGTACTTAAGGGGAACTGCTGCCCCGAAAGCAGAAACCGTAATCTAGTGGGGCTCCCCTTGTGAGTCCCAGGGGCTAGGGTACAAACGGCAGCACTTCAGGGTCAAAGGCAAGCCAGGTGAGTCCGGAGAGCAGAATGATGACATCAGTAGTCATTCATGGTTTCTAGAAGCCAAACCGACAAGCAGGAACACTCAGTCTTGGAGCCCTGGACTGCGTCTTAACAGTTTAGGCAACAGGTCACATGACCATAAGGTCCCCATAAGACACCCAGGGATTCTGAGTCCATCTGACTCTGTGTAGAGTACTCTATGACGTCTACCAACACTCTTCTCAGAACGTTGCCATCATTAAGTGAGGCCAGAGAGTATACAGAAAGAATTTCAGGTCAAGTGAAGGAAATTCTAACCTGAATCCTAGGCAGACACATAAGTCCCTCACCCCAATCACAGGACAAAGCTACTTCCAAGTCCCAGAGGCCTTTGCAGGAAGCAGGGTATAAAGGAAGAGAAGGTGCCAGGCATGGAGGACTGCCTGCAAGCCTGGGTACTAGGAAGACTGAAGCAGGAGGATCTTGGGACCATGATCATCCTGTGCAAATTAGTAATACTTATTTCAAAATGAGAGGAGCTATGAGATAGATTAGCTGGTAAAAAGTGTGTGTATCCAAGCCTGAAGACATGAGTTCGATTCCTGGACCCACAAGTTGTCCTCTGAACTCTCCGTATGCATACCATGGCATGCATGTGCCTACACACATAATAAATGCATTTGAAAAAAACAAGGCTGGAGAGATGAAGCAGCAATTATGAGCACTTGTCTCCTCTCTTGCAGAGGACCTGGGTTCGTTTCCTAGCACCCACATGGTAGCTTACAACCATCCTTAACTCTAGCACCAGTGGATCCAAAGGCGTGTACATGGCACACATGCATGCAGGCAAAACATTCGTATACATATAAAGCAAAATAAATTTAAAAAAATAAAAAGAGGTTGGGGCATGATGGCTCTGTAATAGAGCCCCTGCCTAGCATCTCCTGTGAGGGGCTGGGGGCGTGGCTCAGTGGTAGAGCCCCTGCCTAGAATCCCCCAGTGAGGGGCTGGGGGCGTGGCTCAGTGGTAGAGCCCCTGCCTAGAATCCCCCAGTGAGGGGCTGGGGCGTGGCTCAGTGGTAGAGCCCCTGCCTAGAATCCCCAGTGAGGGGCTGGGGGCGTGGCTCAGTGGTAGAGCCCCTGCCTAGAATCCCCCAGTGAGGGGCTGGGGGCGTGGCTCAGTGGTACGTTTCCCTGCTTAGCATTAAGTGAGGCGTTAGACTCATTCCTCAGCATTGAAATAATAAATGTAGCAATAGATATCGTTGATCTTTCTCTCATCTTCCCCCAAAAGGGACTGTGGCTTCATTTCTGGACTAGTATGTATTGGGTAAAAGAAAATAATCAAAGTTTGGGGGACTGATAATCCCAGTCCAAGGAGACCAGCAGTGCCACTGGGAGCCTCTCGGCAAAGCAGGGGCTGACGGTCATCTTCAGAGCTTACTTTGCGGTACTTCACAGCCATAGAGGACTCCAAACCCATCCATGACTATCTCCCGGTCTCTTCCACACCTAGCTCCCTCGCAGGGTACAGCGGCAAAGGCTCAGGTGACGCCATCCGGCCCCTCAAAAGCCTGTGTCTGTGAGCCTGGGATGTGTGGTACTGGTACTCTCTAATCACTGAAGCCCGGGATGCCTCATATATCCAAGAATTCACCCTTCACAGCCAGAGCAAAGGCCACTGGCAGGCTAGGAGTCAGGGTCAGCTTGCCAGAGGACAGTGAAGTGTGTCTGGAATAGGTGAAAAGAGTTGAAAGCCATCATCAGAGACCATGGAGCAGCAGTGCATCTGGATCCCACAAGGTGGCACTAAAGAGCCATGAAGTTTAATGCCCCCCACCCCAACACCACTTTTGACAGTCTAACTATATTGCTCTGGCTGCCCTGGAACTAACTATATAGAGCAGGCTACCCTCAAACTCATCCACCTGTCTCTGCATCCCTAGTGCTGGGATTAAGCCATGTGCCACCACACCCGGCTTTTTTTTTTTTCCATATTTATTTCTTTAGTTGTTAAGGGAAGGAGACTGTGTGCTACATTCTTATGGCAATCAGAGGACAAGCCCTAGGAGGAAGTGAGTGAGTTCTCTCCTTCTCCTAAAAGAGTCCTGGGGATCAAACCCTTGACAACAAGCACCTTTTATGTACAGACCCATCATAGACGTTGTCGAATGTCAGCTTCTGGGACACGATTGCATATCCTTTAAGCTGCACATCATTGATTAATAATTTTTCAGTTTATTTATGTTATCTCCAGGCATTGTTTTGCCTGCATGTATATCTGTATAAGGACATCAGATCCCCTAGAACTGACGTTACAGAACTGACTATGAGCGTCCATGTGGTGCTAAGATTTCAACCCGAGTCCTCTGGAAGAGCAGCCAGTGCTCTTAGCCACTGAGCCCTCTCTCCAGCCTCCATCACTAATGCTTTTAGTGTTTCTTTTTATTGACAATTTTATGCATGTATATAATACACCTGGATGCTTTCCCCTCTCTCCCCTCTCCTCCTTCTCTCACTCCTGGCTGGACCCCCTTTTTATTCCCAAGTCACTTCCGCTTGTAGACTTTTCTGTTTTGATATAGTTTCCTTGTTTGTTCGGTGAGCAACTGGGCGTAATTAAGGTCGCTTGCGTGAACACGGATGTGGTTCACACAATCGGGTTTGGTATTATACTGTTTTCTGGGGTTTTGTTTGGTTGCTACCTTGCTTGCTTTTCCTTTGAGACATGGTCTCAGTAAACTGCCCAGGCTGGTCTTGAACTTCACATTCTCCCTTCTCAGTCTCCCATGTGCTGTCTTACAACAAGCCCATCTTGAGGTAGCAGCTTTTAGAATATTCTAAACATCAAGGGGTGGGGGGAACCACCTTACATAACTCACCCCCCCACCTCACTCCCGAGTCTGGCAACTAAGAACCCACTTCCTCTCTGTGGACGTTATGTGATGGACTTTTCCTGTGAAGACATACACACACTTGCTCACTCCAGATGGGAGCCCGCAACATACCAAAGTGTGGATACCATCAAAGTCCACTTTAGTGAATCAATGAGTTTTATTGTGGTTACTTACAGGAATATAGGTGAAGGGTAGCTTACAGGAGCAGAAATGACTCAAAGAGAACTGTATCACAAAAACTCACCCAGGTATGGGCAACAGCTCTGGGAACCCGAAACATACTGCATAGTTTGCAGGCAGCTCAACAGGTTGCAAAGTGTCCTTTCCAGGTGGCTCAGTTGGTCTGAACCAGTACCAGGAGGCTTGGCTGGTCTGAGATTGACTCCCAGAAGCCTTTGCTGTTTCTTCTTAGTGAGGCTGGGGGTCTAGTGAGTCTGGTAAGTTTTAGGGACTTCCTGAAGCAACTTCGTTTACTTTCCGTTTTAAGGAGCTTCCCTGATGAAAAAACAAAACAAAACAAAACAAAACAACTACTAATACACAATGAGCTGTCTCGCCTGGTCTGGACCCTGCATGGTCATGATCATGGTTCTTAACCTCAGGCTTCATCCAAGAAAGGACAATGCATTCACACTTTACTAGTTTCTTGTGGCCCTGAAGATGAAATCCGGGTCTTTGCACATTCTAAGAAATACTGCTCATCTGAGCCACGCCCCCAGCCCCTTACTGAGGGATTCTAGGCAGGGGCTTTACCACTGAGCCACGCCCCCAGCCCCTCACTGGGGGATTCTAGGCAGGGGCTCTACCACTGAGCCACGCCCCCAGCCCCTCACTGGGGGATTCTAGGCGGGGGCCCTACCACTGAGCCACGCCCCCAGCCCCTCACTGGAGGATTCTAGACAGGGGCTCTACCACTGAGTCACACTCCCAGCCCCCCACTAGGGTGATTCTAGACCTTCTTTCTACTGCTGAGCCACACCCCCAGCTCTTGACTTTTTGAGACAAGGTTTTGCTTTGCACTTGAGGCTGGCCTTGAACTTGAGGTCCTTCTGCCTCAGCTCAAAGTGCCTCCATTAACGGTGTGTGCCCATCATACTCGCTAGGGTTTAACAACTGGGTAAAGGTAAGAGCTTAGAAGTCTGGAGCTCTGCCAAGATCAGACTTGGGACCTTAACGGCATTTCTCCCTGACATCTCAGGATGTGGCTAGAGCCTTTGTAGTTGTTCATTCTTCTCTGGTGATCACTGAAGCTGCTGTTTGCTGAGAGCTAGGGAACCCACTAACCTACCATGTGCAAAGCCAAGTCTGATCTCCAGCACGGAGGTGGAAGGGCAAAGCACTCGGGGTGGGAGAGTACCTTCTGAGAAAGTGGACAGTTTCTCTATGTTCATCATCTAAAGGCTAAGATTTTCAAATGTCAAGCCATTTTGGCCAGGAGGGGGGTATTTTGAGTCAGGGTAATGTAGCCCAGGCTGCCCTTGACGTCACTATGTAGATGAGACTGACTTTGAACTCTTCACACTCCTCGTGCCTCCTGCATGTTGGGCTTGAGGGTGACACACAGTCAGCACTGTTCTGTCTCCAACAGTATTAACTTCATGCATAGAGTTCTTCAGTCTACTTCCTGTTGAGCGAGTCTCCAACTGGCCCTGATGGTGGGACTGGTTTGAGAGGCCATGGACCCTCTTGGGCACAAGGCTGTAAAGGCCTCAGGCCCGCTCCATTCCCAGCCCGAACCTTGCTTCCTGAGTCTCCCTATGGGTAGCCAGTTGCCTCCACATTCCATGCTCCCCACCACGGTCCTCAGCCTCTGAACCCCAAGACAGTAAACCTGCCCTCATTTCTTTCAGAGAGATGAGGAGAGCAGCCAATGCAGTTAGTTTTGGTTGGCTGTCTTTCAAGAAAGTGCCCCACTGAACTGAGTTGACTGCGTCTTTGGGATGTGGCCCCTGAGCTTGACACTGCAGGGCCTGTAATGGCGGCTGCTTCCATCCCTGGGCCTCCTTCCTGGCTTTGTGGCTCTTTCAGATTCAGCATTTCACTTCTTTTATCCACTTCTTCCTAGCTGTCTGCACTGTGTGTGTGTGTGTGTGTGTGGTATATGTGTGTATGTGAGTGCGTGCATGTATCTATGTATGTATGTGCATGTGTGTGTGTGTGTGGTGTATGTGTGTGAATGCATGCATGTATCTGTGTATGTATGTGCATGTGTGTGTGGTGTATGTGTGTGTGAGTGCGTGCATGTATCTATGTGTGTGTGTGTGTGTGGTGTATGTGTGTGAGTGTGTGCATGTATCTATGTATGTATGTGCATGTGTGTGTTTGTCTGTCTGACCAGGTGTCTTCCTTGGTCAGCCTTCATCTCTTTCTGAGACAGTCTTTGGCTAGGCTGGCTGGCCAGCGAGCTCGGGGAATCAGCCTGCCTCCGGCCCCAGCATTAGAGTTAGACTCATATTGTTATGCTCAGCTTTTTCATTTTTTTTTTTAAAATGTGGGTTCCAGGATCCAAACTCAGCAAGCAGGCTCTTTTCCACTTGAGGCATCTCCCAGCCCCTGATGGTATTATCGTGGGAGGCTATGGAACGTTTAAGGGGTGGGACCCGGCAGATGGAAGTTTCTGGGTATAGCCCTTTGAAAGTTAGTCCCTCACTTCTGTCCACTCTCTTGCTTCCTAGACTGCAGTGAAGACTAGAGATAGAAATCCTTCATGCCTTAAGCTGTTCTGTTGGGGACTGAGGTCACAGCAATGCCTTAGTAACACTGCAGCTGGGTTCCACCTCAGACTCCAGAGGCTGCGCATGTCAGGAGAGGCTGGGCCAAGCAGGAGTGGGAGTGGAGTGCCTGAAGCAGGCCTGGAGGAGCTGCCTAGGGGATGACAAGGGATGCAAGGCAGGGGAGGGCTGTGTGCATCACCTGTGCAGGTGAGGGGGTGGAGCAGAAAGCCGCCAAAGAGTGGGGGTGACTAGGAGTCCAGCAGCAGGAGGTGGCTGGGCGGGCATCTCCAGGTGTAGCCATGGTCCCACATGAACATTACCCACCCCCCATCTCTGCTTCCAACTCTCAGAGACCCAAGTGGAAGGGCAAACCTGGGGCAACAGACTAAGGGGCCTCAGGAGAGTGGCTAGGTTCTGGGACCCCTCACATAGACTTACCAGCAGCCTCAATGTGGCCCCTCACCTCACCTCCCAGGGCCCCTCAGGGCTGCAAACACACCAAAGAGATAAAAGCTTGCCCTGTGGAGACTTGATAGGCCAGAGAAGGGGGATGCTGGAAGGGTGAGGTGGGAGTGGGTGGGTGAGTGGGGAAACACCCTCTTTGAGGTGAAAGGGACGGGGTATGGGGTGGGGGGCTCATGGAGGGGGCACCAGGAAGGGAGACAACATTTGAAATGTAAATAAATATAATAATTAAAAAAAAATTTTTTTTTAAAAAAAGTTTGCCGTGACAAGGGCCAAGGCTGTGTTTCTTCGCACTGAGGGAGGCACAAGTTCTGAAGCAAAGTCTGACTTTATTTGCACAGACATACCGCTGCCCCCCATTTGGGGTGCTCTGGGGAGCTCTGGCCATGCAGTACTGGCTCACATGTGCTGCCTTCGATGTCTCAGCACCTCGGTGGGAGTGAAGAGGAAGTCCTGCTTGCACACCTGGCAGTGGTAGGGCCTCTGCAGGGCCGATGTCTTCTGTGGTGGTGCAGGAGCAGCCTCCTCAGACCCTGTAGAGGAAAGGGAAGGCTCTGGTTCCCACCAACCCTGCTGCCTGTGAGCCAGCCTGGCCCCACCATTGGGGACACTCGGCCACAGTCGCCGCTGTGAACGGGCACTGTGGGACTGTGGCACTGTGGGACTGTGGGACTGTGGCACTGTGGGACTGTGGCACTGTGGGACTGTGGCACTGTGAGACTGTGGGACTGTGGCACTGTGGCACTGTGAGACTGTGGGACTGTGGGACTGTGGCACTGTGAGACTGTGAGACTGTGGGACTGTGGCACTGTGGCACTGTGAGACTGTGGGACTGTGGGACTGTGAAACTGTGGGACTGTGAGACTGTGAGACTGTGGGACTGTGGGACTGTGGCACTGTGGGACTGTGGGACTGTGGCACTGTGGGACTGTGGGACTGTGAAACTGTGGGACTGTGGCACTGTGAGACTGTGGGACTGTGGGACTGTGGCACTGTGGGACTGTGGCACTGTGAGACTGTGGCACTGTGGGACTGTGGGACTGTGAGACTGTGGGACTGTGGCACTGTGAGACTGTGGCACTGTGGGACTGTG